AAGCAGCAGAGGGGGAAGGGAGCTGAAGCAATCCAACTGCTTTAGCTGCTATAAGGAGAGGGAGTGTGAGGGGGAGAGGTGCTTTCCAGGGCTGCATCACAAGAAAACACTGGACAGGTCCTGCTGCAGCTGCTCTGTCCAGCAGCTGCATGGTAGTTCCTGCAGGGCTGGAAGCTGGAGTACCCCACCTCCTGCTTCAACACTCTGGCTCTTCCTGGCTCTGCAAATGTGAGCACCAGCCATGCATTTAGCCTCCTCCATCGGGGTGAGGGCAGTAGTGGGGTGCTGTGTAGTGCAAGCACCAGCTGTTCTGGCGAAGCTGGAGCTGAGTGGAGGATGGTCTCCAGAGCTCCTCAGCTGCTGCCTCCTCTTGATAACCAGGCTGTGGAGGATCCAGCTGGTGTGTTTCTAACTGGTCCTTTTTTCCTCCTTCCCCAGGTAAGACGATGAAGCAGTAGAGATGCTTCCCTTCCTGTTTGCCACCTTTGGCTCGGCAGGAGCCACCTGCAAATCCTGTAACAATGGCACCCAGGATTACTGTTACAGTGCCCGCATCCGCAGTACGGTGCTGCAGGGGTTGCCGTTTGGTGGCGTGCCTACCGTTCTCGCCCTTGACTTCATGTGCTTCCTTGTAAGTCCTCTCCACTGTTGTTCACATGGGGCTAGGGTTGCGGGGGAGGGGGAACAGATACTGACAGACAGGGCTCCTGGGATGTATTCCTAGGCCTGGGAAGAGGAGAGTAGGCTAGTGACTAGGGCTTGGGGCAAATGGAGCTCAGGATATCCAAGCCCAGTTCCCATCCCACGGTAAGGAGTGCGATCTGATGGTTAGCACTGGGACTCTTAGGTTCCATTCTCAGCTTTGCTGCTGGCTTGCTGTGTGGTGCTGGGTAGGATATAGGCATCACAGCCATTTAGTCTTCCAGTTTCCCTGGCAGGCCTGGGCAAACCAGACTTGGATTCAGGTCTTTTATGGCCTTGGACTTGTGCCAAGTGTCCTGCAGCTTATGTTAATGGCATGCTCAAGAGTGACCCAAATGTGGCAGCATGAAAATGGTGAGGTGAGCCATAGAGGTTGGAAATGGCTTGAAGTGTGGCTGACCACGAGGCTGAGACATGCCCTCATTGGATCCCGAGTCCCCAGGGTGCTCAAACACTACTGCATTTCTCCCCCTTGGATCCTGGCTTCCCAGAGGTGTGGTGGTGTCCTGTAGCCAGAAGGGCCAAATTCCACAGGAGCAAGCCAACCCCAGTTCCTGCTGCTTCCTTTGTCCCCCACTGTTCCTTCTCTGGGGCAAGTAGAGACAAATGGCAATTGGGAAAAGACATCACCCACAGAAGGGGCCTGGCCTCACAGTTTTTCCTTTATATTGTTGCAGGCATTGTTGTTTGTCTTTTCAATCTTGCGTAAAGTGGCATGGGACTATGGACGTCTGGCCCTGGTGACTGATGCTGACAGGTAAGGTTGAGACAGCAGGACAAGGAAGATGAGGGGAGCAAGATGATAAACCTTCTAACTGTGCACCCAGATGGCAGTGAGGACAGGGTCAAAGTGGTGTTCAGGCCAGTCAGACCCCCAGAAACAAAGGAGGTCCCTGCAGCCCAGCTTGCTAACCCTTTGCTGTTCCACCTACAGCCCCACACAGAAGCAAGCCTGGCAGCTTTTTGGCTCTAGAGTTGCAATACATTATTTATGGGTCCTACAGCTACAGAGTGAGCTGTGCACTGTGCCTTGCAAACTCTCCAAGGCGTGATTAGCTTCCTGTCCTGTGGAAGCAGTGGCCAAGCGAGGGTCAGCAGACAAAGGACTAGAGAAAAGTTATGAGAGGGGGAAGGTCTGTGACCAGAACAGCTTTGCTAGTCACGCGATGGGAAGTGCCTTTGTGACTTTGCTGACTGACATATTGCTCAGTTTACCTGGGAATCAGGCACTGAGTTTTCAAATAACTTCTTATGCAGCTTGGTCACAGTATTAGGTCTGAGGAAGGAAATGCAGGCAAGTCTGGATGGCTCCAAAGTGGGGCTCTGAGTCCTATGAGTCTAGAGCATGGATGCAAGGGAGTTGTTGATGGCAGGTGCAGTCACTGAAGGAAGAGTGGTATGTGTCATCTTAATCTGAAAATATTTAGCTTGGCTTAGATAAAGCATGGCTGCATGGAATGACCACCTGCTGAAAGACTGAGCATGGTGCTGTGAAGACAAAGAGCGAGAGAGAGAG